ACCTTTTCAAAATGGGAAGTGTTTTCAAGATGGGAGCCTTTCCAAATCAGGAACCTTTTCATAATAGGAACTTTTTCCTCTCAAAACAGGCATCCAAAAATATGAACCTCGTTTTGAAATGGGAATCATCCTTCTCAAAATGGGAATATCCTTCCTTCCAAAATGGGAATCATCCTTCTCAAAATGTGGGATCTTTTTTTCTCAAAATGCAAAACTTTTCAAAATGGGAACCTTTCTGAATTGGGAACCTTTACTTCTCAAAATGGGCATCTGAAAATATGAACCTCGTTTTCAAAATGAGGATTTTCCTTCTCAAAATGGGAATATCCTTCCTTCCAAAATGGGAATCATCCTTTTGAAAATGTAGGATCTTTCGTCCCAAAATGGGAACCTTTCTGAATTGGGAACCTTTGCTTCTCAAAATGGGAATATCCTTCCTTCCTAAATGGGAATCATCCTTTTCAAAATGTGGGATCTTTCTTCTCAAAATGGGGAACTTTTCAAAATGGGAACCTTTCTGAATTGGGAACCTTCGCTTCTCAACATGGGCATCTGAAAATATGAACCTCGTTTTCAAAATGAGGATTTTCCTTCTCAAAATGGGAATATCCTTCCTTCCTAAATGGGAATCATCCTTCTCAAAATGTGGGATCTTTCTTCTCAAAATTGGAAGCTTTCTGAATTGGGAACCTTTACTTCTCAAAATGGGGATTTTCCTTCTGAAAATACGAATCTTGTTTTCAAAATGGGAGTTTGCCTTCTCGAAATTGTAGGATCGTTCTTCTCAAAATGGGGAACTTTTCAAAATGGGAACCTTTCTGAATTGGGAACCTTTGCTTCTCAAAATGGGAATAGCTTTCCTCCCAAAATGGGAATTTTTCTTCTCAAAATGGGGACCTTTTCAAAATGGGAAGTGTTTTCAAGATGGGAGCCTTTCCAAATCGGGAACCTTTTCAAAATAGGAACTTTTTCTTCTCAAAATGGGCATCTGAAAATATGAAACTCGTTTTCAAAATGAGGATTTTCCTTCTCAAAATGGGAATATCCTTCCTTCCAAAATGGGAATCATCCTTTTCAAAATGCGGGATCTTTCTTCTCAAAATGGGGAACTTTTCAAAATGGGAACCTTTCTGAATTGGGAACCTTTGCTTCTCAAAATGGGCATCCAAAAATATGAACCTCGATTTCAAAATGAGGATTTTCCTTCTCAAAATAGGAATATCCTTCCTTCCTAAATGGGAATCATCCTTTTCAAAATGTGGGATCTTTCTTCTCAAAATGGGAACCTTTCTGAATTGGGAACCTTTACTTCTCAAAATGGGAATAGCTTTCCTCCTGAAATGGGAATTTTTCCTCTCAAAATGGGAACCTTTTCAAAATGGGAAGTGTTTTCAAGATGGGAGCCTTTCCAAATCAGGAACCTTTTCATAATAGGAACGTTTTCTTCTCAAAACAGGCATTCAAAAATATGAACCTCGTTTTAAAATGGGAATTTTCCTTCTCAAAATGGGCATATCCTTCCTTCCAAAATGGGAATCATCCTTCTCAAAATGGGATCTTTCTTCTCAAAATGGGGAACTTTTCAAAATGGGAACCTTTCTGAATTGGGAACCTTTTCTTCTCAAAATGGGCACCTGAAAATATGAAACTCGTTTTCAAAATGAGGATTTTCCTTCTCAAAATGGGAACATCCTTCCTTCCTAAATGGGAATCATCCTTTTGAAAATGTGGGATCTTTCTTCTCAAAATTGGAACCTTTTCAAATTGGGAACCTTTCCTTCTCAAAATGGAAATATCCTTCCTTCCTAAATGGGAATCTTCCTTTTCAAAATGTGGGATCTTTTCTTCTCACAATGGGAAACTTTTCAAAACGGGAGTTTTCCTTCTCAAAACGTGGGATCTTTTTTTCTCAGAATGGGAACCTTTTCAAAATGGGAGTCTTCCTTCTCAAAATGTGGTATCTTTCGTCTCAAAATGGGAACTTTTTCAAAATGGGAACCTTTCTGAATTGGGAACCTTTACTTCTCAAAATGGGAATAGCTTTCCTCCTGAAATGGGAACTTTTCCTCTCAAAATGGGAACTTTTCAAAATGGGAAGTATTTTCAAGAAGGCAGCCTTTCCAAATCAGGAACCTTTTCAAAATAGGAACCTTTTCTTCTCAAAATGGGCATCTGAAAATATGAAGCTCGTTTTCAAAATGAGGATTTTCCTTCTCAAAATGGGAATATCCTTCCTTCCTAAATGGGAATCATCCTTTTCAAAACGTGGAATCTTTCGTCTCAAAATGGGAACTTTTCAAAATGGGAACCTTTCTGAATTGGGAACCTTTACTTCTCAAAATGGGAATAGCTTTCCTGCCAAAATGGGAATCTGAAAACAGGAATCTTATTTTCAAATGGGATTTTCCCTTCTCAAACTGGATCCTTCCTCACAAAAATGGGAATCTTCCTTTTCAAAATGCGGGATCTTTCTTCTCAAAATGGGAACCTTTTCAAATTGGGAACCTTTCCTTCTCAAAATGGAAATATCCTTCCTTCCTAAATGGGAATCTTCCTTTTCAAAATGTGGGATCTTCAAAACGGGAGTTTTCCTTCTCAAAACGTGGGATCTTTTTTTCTCAAAATGGAAACCATTTTTCACCCCTTTGCCCCCATTCCTCCCCCCCACCTCCAGCCCCACCTGCCCACCTTTTCGGTGGGTCTGTAGGTGATGCTGTGGGAGGAGTTTTGCACGGCGTTGCCCTGCAGCACCGTCAGCTCCGTCAGCTCCTGCTGGAGGCCCAGGATGCGGAGCTCCTGGAAGCTCAGCTGGTTGGGGTCATCGTAGCCTCTGTTGGTGACGTTCATCCGGAGCTCGTTCTGGGGGGGCAGAAAGTGGGGAGCCCAGGTTGGTCACGGGATTAATTGATTAAATCACATCGTAGTACGTATAAATATACGTCTATATTTATGTTTTTATAATTATACACACGGAAGGGTGAAGGTGGGGAGCCCAGATTGGTTACGGGATGAATTGATTAAATGACATCATAGTATTTGTTATGGAGTCGTGTATTTATATTTCTGTATTTCTATATTTCTATATTTCTATATTTCTATATTCCTATATTCCTATATTCCTATATTTCTATTTTTCTATATTCCTATATTCCTATATTCCTATATTCCTATATTCCCATATTCCCATATTCCTATATTCCTATATTCCTATATTCCTATATTCCTATATTCCTGTATTCCTGTATTCCTATATTTCTATATAAATATTTATACATATAGATATAAACATAAAAACATATAAATATACAAATACACAAACATATAAATACATTTGCATATTTGCACATTTGCATATTTATGCATATATATCTGTATTAATGCGTATAGAAGGGTGAAGGTGGGGAACCCAAATTGGTTACAGGACGAATTAATTAAATCACATCATAGAATGTTTTTATATTTACTATACTATATTTATATATTATATTATGTTAATATTAATAATAGTATATATATTACATACATGCTATTATCATAAATCATAAATATTAAATAAAATCATAATATATAATATATAATAAATAATTTACTATATAAAATCATATAATAATTACATAATGATAATGATATCTAATCATTATATGCAACGTTTTTCATACATTTAATTCTACATAATTATATACGTTATGTTATATAATAAAATGATGTTTAATATGTGTTATAAAAATATATTCTGTAATTATATTGTTAGAATATATAATATAAT